TATCAACGAGGGATCGGAAGCAACACCGACACTTTCCAAGGTCCCACAAGCAGTACCAACAGCACACTTAGGCTTCCTAATTCCAAGTTCAGTGGCTTTAGTGTGTACCCAGCTGCCTTTACAGAGCAGGCCCTGAGTGATCTGTGAAGTAACCACACTGTCCTTTAACATCCTTCTGCATTGGTGAGCACCTCTACTCTAACATCTTTGCTGTCCTCTAATATACCACGCTCAGGAACGACCCATTTTGGGGAACCGCAATCTGCCTTTCCCTGTTTGGCTCCCCAGGGGACATAAGCTCCCTTGTCTACCTACTTATCTACCAAAGCACCTGTCTACTCAAGAATGCTATTTCTAGGTTTTTATAGTCTTCCAGAGTGATAACAAAGAGAACTATTAAATTCCTGCATGTCTTCTGAGGGCAATATCTCCTCCATTTGCTGACCCAATACAAATAGTTAATCTGAATATTTATTACTTCTGGTCCAAATCTGAACACATTTCAAAAATTTTAATTACAACTATGTGGCATTAGTGGGAGACTAGACAGGTATCCCAGATATTCACTATAATTTATAGGAGAATTTCAAACACATTTTAAAAATATGGTACCATAGTCAATGTGAAAAAATCTTCAATTAATGGTAGTAGGATAAATGGCTGGTAATTTGGGAAAAAATTCAATTTTAACTTGTACCTCACATATCTCTCTCTCTCTCTCTCTCTCTCTCTCTCTCTCTCTCTCACACACACACACACACACACACACACACACACACACACTCTCTCTTTCTCTCTCTCTCTCTCTCCCTCCCTCTCTCCAGTAAAATATTAAAGGGATTAAATGTTTTTAAAATAAAACCAAATCCTTAAAAAATTACAATAAGACAAATATGAAACATCTGGAGGAAAATTTTTTCTGAATTTAGGAGGATAGAAGAAATCACAAAGGAAATGATCAATAGATTTGACTATATGCAAATAAATTTCTGTTAAAAAAACAGAAAGACAAATGGTGAAATATTGGCAGAAAAATGATAGAGGAAGAGGTTAAAGTTTTTATTTAAAAAAGTCTCATGTAAGTAGATAGGAATTACATTAGAATTCCAGCAGATAAATAAAGGGAAACAAAAGAAAATTTATAAAAATAGTAACAAAACATTTGGAAGAACATTTAATCTCAATAAATAGCAAGGAAATGCACATTTACTGCATAAAGCCTCCTCTGATGTATATGTAGATATTAGCACATACATTATATGCTTTTGCCTAACACCGTATAGCAGAACTGGTACTTTTATACATTATTGATGGCATTATAAGTTGGCACAACATTTTGGAAAGCAATCCGCCAATATATATACAAAGGTCTTTTTTGTTTTTTTGGTTTTTTTTGAGACAGGGTCTCACTCTGTTGCCTGGTCTTGAGTGTACTGGTGTGATCATATCTCACTGCAACCTCAAATTCCTGGGCCCAAGTGATCCTCCTGCCTCATCCTCCTCAGTAGCTGGCACTTGACTCAAGACAAAAAGAGGAAAATTTTAGGATAAATCTTAGTGAAAAGAAAATATATAATTTTTAATTTAAAATATTGTTAAAATCTAAATAATAAACCAGAAAACATTTTCCACGTACCTATATATATCACTCTTTTAATTTTAATTGTCGCTGCATCCTTATAAATTAGAAACTTTGACTCTATTCCCCCATCTCCCCTGCAAATCACATGAAAATTCTGGCAAAGCCTATGAGTGTGATCTGTCTCTGGCCAAATTGGGGGGAATGGAGCCAAACAGAAAAACAATGCTAAATAGTAACATCTGGAAGGAAACATTCTTTTTGTCAAAGACCCAACTACCCTCTTCAGAAGGAACCTACATCTTTCTGGAGCTGAGTGCTATACCAGGCCTCGGGCTCGGCTGGATTGAGCCACAGGTCCAGGGCCAGCCACAGGACACGTCGCTCTAGCATGGCGAGGTCACCGGCTGACGTGAGTCTGCAGGTGTGGCAGGCCTCTCGGAGGAGATGCTCTAGGGCTCTGGGGATGAGTGCCGCCAGGCCGAGGGAAGGGTGGAACTCCAGCAGATAAACGTTTTTCAAAGCTGGGCTTGAAGAAGAGGAACGATGAATGGTAATTTTACACGACAAAGAATTTAATCTGTTTCTGAAGATATTTGAATTTTATATTTTTATAGACCAGTAGAACAGCTCCTCTAGGTCCAGAGCAATATTTAAAATACTGGGAGCTCAGAGGGACCTCAGAGTCTGTCCAGGGAGCCCACCGGATTATACAGTGTGCTCTTTGCTTCAATGGGAACCCTTTTAAAACTGAAAGACATGGGCGTATATTCTAAATGCCCAATAAGAATAAGATTAAGACTGTATACTGCAAAAAGGTCAACATTTCAGTAATCAATATTTAGTTAAATATCTGAAAACAAAATAACTCAAAAGAAAAGTGACTAAATAAAAAACAAATAATTTCCATGGTTATTAGTTTCTATTTTTCACTTGAATCTTTTTCTATTGTTTTCCAAAATGTTAATAAACAAAGACAATTTTTAAATTTCTGTATACAACTGCTGGAATCATTCATATTGGCTGTAAGGATGTTATATTTTATAAATGTATGAGACCAGAATAGGTTATTCCTTTGGAAATAAAGGACACAGCACAAGTCAAGGGTCCTTCCATACCTACAAAGCACTGAAGAACATAACATTTCCCTTTAAATCTATGCAAATAGGATCCTTCTCAGTCCTGCATTTTAAAAAATATAGCCTAAAGTCTGGAAAAGAATCTCACCAAGCAAATAACATTCACTTCTGAGACTATTCTGGCAGGTTTTAATATCCATATAGCCCTAGCCTGTTCTGCCAAAAACCATTTCCTGAATAGTAGATTCTTGCCATAGCAAGCTACACACACAGCTGATGTCTCAAGTTTATTGCAGAGAAGAATTCAGTCCTAAGAAAGGGCTATGGAGAAAATGCAGACTTTTGTGCCTGGAAGCCTGGGGCTCTTTCTCAAGAAATGAGGATAAAATCTCAGCTATTAGCTCTCATGGCACCCTGACTGTCCCCAATACCACAGCTGTTTCCCTGTTCCCTCTCCCTCAAAGGCTGGAAGGGAATGAGGGGGCTGGTCATGCTATATGTTGAGTGGGTGACAAGGTGTATACCCTCCTGAGTGGCCTCAGGGAATTTAACTTTGCTCCTTAAAGGGGTGGGAGTCACAAGGCGAGTCTGCAGAAACCTCTTTAGTGACACTTGCCAGAATAAAGAAATTCCTTTTTAAGAAATTTTTAAGTATATCCAAGTTTCATATATGTGGGCTTGTGTGATATCACTGGTTAAATCCTATAACAGCATTTCAAGAGCAACTGTTTTTCCCCCCCAGGACTTATCAAGGGAATGATGATTTTGCACCCAGTGGCTTAAGTTTAAATTCTAGTCTCCTATTTTTTTATTATTTACAAATCAAACAGATATTCAATATTTGAATCCCTCTTTTGTGGCTTTTATACCTATTTCTCTCATCTCCCTAAATACTTGAGAGGTACTTACAGAGTAGTGTTTAGATTTAACACTATACCCTTAATTAATCTAGAAGATTAAATGTAAAATATCAAAAGACAATACCAACTTACTAGCTATTGTTGATAGAAATAAGTTGTTTGCAAATTATGTTAAGGGGAAGTCCAAATTTATTGCTATTGTCTAGATGATCATCTCGCCAAAGCCTCCGGACATACTCCCTCTGATGCTCTATCTAAAAATGTAGCATAAATGTTAAAATTAGAAAAGTTAAACTTTCCCATGGACATGAGTTATGAGTCTTGACATGAGAAGGATCTCATTCCTTTGTGTCTCTTCATCATTTGACTAATTTTCACCCAGACATTGTTTTGAAGACTCGTTTGCAATGAGACATGCTGGTCTCTCAATCTGAGCCAGTCAGCCAAGGGAAGCAAAAAGGCAACCAACTTCAGATAATTTTAAGAGGTGAAAAGGGAAAATTTCTTTCTGTTAAATAATTCACTACATGGAAAAATTCCAACCAGGTTGCAACAATCCTTTGTCTCCTGCTTGCTCCATGCCACTGGCTTTTCCCTAGAGGACATACGATGTGATTGTTTCTTTCAGTGTCCTAAAAATAGTCACAAAAATTTTTAAATAAACACAATTTTATGCATTAATGTCCTGAAGAGATGTATCATTAGTTCTTCTTTCATTAGTTCTTCTGGTAAACTCTATGATGTAATGAAAACTGAGATCATCAATTCCTTGTGGACCAATAACTGTAATTAGGGGTAGAAATCTTCTTTTAAGACCATAGCTGTACTTGGAATTCAACAATACAAATAAACATGTTGAACATGCCGCCCTAGAAAATTCCAGATCTGTAATGATCAGAAAACACTAATTTCATTTCTGGCCTGTGTTTTCCATCCTCTTCTCACATGTAGTATTTTAAAAACCCAATTGTACTTACTTGCTGGTTGAGGATGCCCCTCACTAGCTGCAGGTGAAGCCTCAGGCAGGTGCATTCATCTTGGTAGGCCTTAATAAAATAAGAGTGGCTGAGATCAAACCTTGGGCGCCGGTGCATGATGTCTGTCATTACTTGTGCTAAAGCAAACCTCTCCTCAGGGTCCAACGTGTGCTGGTAGGCTTCAAAGTAACTGTCAAGAAGCTGCAAGTAAGGTTGATAGTCAGGGAGCAACGGAGGCAGCCCCAGGGCCCAGCAACGAGAGGGGCAGATGCAGCACCACTACAGCTCAGTGCAATCAGTGGGCCCACAGACGGAATTAGGGAGGGCAAGGGAAAGAACACACGCTTTGGAGCCAGAACGAGATTTGAGTTTGCCCTTCTGCGTCCATCCCCCCTTCCCCTGGTCTCCACAAATAAAAAGGTGATTATATAATCAATAACATGATATGTAATAATTATAAGCTCCAAAGAGGCAACACATTCAAAGGCACTTCATCAAATACATTTATCTCTTTTCTTCAAGGACCCATTCTCCTTCCTCCATTTATTCCATCACCAAAGCTAGGAAGGTGGCTTCTTGTCTTCTACATCCTCAGCCCTATTTCTCACCCCTTCTCTTTCATAGTTTGCCCAGATTTCACCTACATAAAAATGATGGAAGTGGGGTTGGTAGAATGGAAGGCTGAGGGTAAAAGTGCTTCCTAAATACAAAATGATCTTTCTGGACTCCTGACTGGACTCCTCTAGGAAGGGCCTTGGAAATAAACAGAACTCTCAAAGCCACCAAGTGTGCAAAAACCCCAATGGAGCTTCAGTTTTAGTGGAGTTCACAAGTCTTTCTAAAAATTGAAGAAAGCTTCCAGACACTAACAGTTGAAGAGTGTTCTTAGTGTGGGAATTCAGAAAGAGATGCCTCTTTATTTTGCTTTACATTTGTCTGTGAGCTTAAGGAATTTCTATTCTGTGTGTGATTAGTCATGATGCTAAGCAGAAAAAGCTCTTCAGAGATCACTGGGTTTGAATCCCAAGCTGGGCCCCTCCGCCAAGATAAGTAGTGCCGATTGATCGCAGTACATAATAAACCCTTTCTCCTGTTAATCTGTCTTTGGTACGTTTAGTTTTCACAGCCCAGGCACTGAATCTAAGAAGGCAGAGGAAAAAGTTTTTCCTCCTCTGCACAAGAGAGTTGAACACTTGAGAATGAATAGCACATTAGGAATCAAATGCTGCTTTACTGAGAGGGCCCAATGCTAAGGCTCAGGGAGGAAGGAGCCTAGGGCACTTTATTTAGCACCCAGTTCTGTAGGATGACCTCTGGGAAACACTGGTCTAAGGGACCTTAGATCAACCTTAGCATGAAAATGAAAACACAAGAGGATGCTAAAAGTTCAAGCCACAGAAGATGCTCCACACGTTAGAAACTCACACATTAAGAGCCAGACAGGAGGGAAGGTGGAGATCCCCTTGTCTTTAAGTGAGCCCTGAGGAAAATGAAGCAAGCAGGGTGATCTAAATTACCTTGTTCTGTACACCTGAGCTCTACTCTTGGCTAACATTTACTTATTAAATAGCAGAAGATAAAACAGAAATGGGAGGAATGCCTAGCTGGGGTAAGAAGGGTGTCACTCAGTAGCCCCAGGTGGAGATTAGGAAAGAAACAATTACTTCCCTAATTCATTCTGGACTAACTTGAATCTTTTGGGCTGGGCCAGGGCAATCCCAGGAACTGGTTTATGGTATTTACACTTCCTTGACCTGTTTCTGTACAAAGATCCCAATTGTTTGGTTATTTGGCAGAGGAAGTTTGTAGGGAGTTGGGGGAGGATTCTAGCTGGTGATTCCGATCTGGCGATACCCGATTGCAGAGGCCCGGGCTAAATTGCCATGCTCACTATTGTTGTTGATAGGGTTGTCAGATTTAGTGAATAAAAATGTAGGACATTCGGTCCAATTTGAATTTCAGATAGGTAACAAATAGTTTTTTTAGTATGTCACAAATACTGCGATATTTTATCTGGTAACCTTAGCTGTTGAAAAGGAAAATGTGGCTCTCTTTTTAAATTGATGAGGCTTCTTCAAGCTTTGGGCTCAACCTCAAGCAGCTCTCAGATGGACAGTTGCATAATTTTATTACGAATTCTTTCCCAACAGGGGTGGGACCATGATCTTTCTGCCTCACGGGTTCTATTTATTATCTGTTTGCTAACTGGCCCGTTTCCATTTAAACTCTGGGCTGGTATTTGTCTAAGAAGTCTTTCCAGCCTGTCAAATGTCACTTGTGTGTGTCAAAGGCCAACTCTCAGGCAAAAATAATATCTGTGTTGTACACACAGATAGTAGGCATCAAATATTGGAGAGAATAGGAAAATAGACAAAATAAATAACCTTAAACCTTACTGTGTTATATTATTTTTACTTCAAACTTTTTTTTGTTTCTGGGATTTAAAACACTTTTAAAAATTGTATTTTAGGTCAAAACAGAAAGCGCAGAACAGAAAATCATTGCTAGACCTAACTTGTCACAGAAATTTGTTTTTTATTCATTTTTAAAGGAATAATACATAAAAATCTCTTTAGTGCTGCATACACCAACTCAACTTATCCTTCAAATGTGTCCTTTAGTGGCGGTAGAAAGAATTAGCAGATGGTGAAGTGTCACTTAGGAGCTGGTGCAGCTGATACCTGGCTTCTCTGAGTCCCTTAATCCACCTAGATTCACACCAGCTCTAATTTTATGAGCCTCCATACATAATACGGTTATTTTAAGGATTTAAAAGAACCCAATATGTTCAAGCAATTCTTAACTCTAGTGATACCAATATACTTAACAACCAAAAACAGCTGAGGAAACTTGGCAGTAGAATCAATACTGGGGGAAATCAATTGTACTTTAGATAGAAATCTGGCTTGTCCATTAAAAATAGGCTCCTTTGACAGAATTTCTGACTTAGAAGGCCGTATTTTACAGTTTTGGCACAGATAGCTCAGTTTCCATACGGAACTTATTCTCAGGGTAGAAAGAAGGGAGATATGTTCAACAATTGTTTTTCAGTTAAAATAGTTTTATTCACCAAAGGAGAAACTAGTGGACAGCCCTGATAGCTTAGCATGGAATGAATCGTAGGCTACAGTGTGGAGAAATCTGTTTTTCTGTCCTCTCTGCCTTTCTATTCTCTTGCCATTGACTCCTGCCTGGACCCGCCCACAGGAGGCCTAGAAGCATTGAAAGGAAAGGTAGGGAGAGAGAGAATACAGAAAAGGGAGGCTGTTTAAAATTCATGCCTGGACCAATAACCCTGCCATTTAGTGATTCTGTCTTATTTACATTTCATACAGCCTCCCCAATTACACTATGCATCTAAAGCTTTCATTTCCTCAGTTGATTAAAGTAAGGTTCTAATTGGCAGATTAAGGTTGCAGACAAACTCTGTAGAGGCCAGCTATCTTTGAAAAGAGGAATATTTTTTCAAAGTCCAAGGCTTGCACCCTTTCAGCCCAGCTAGTTGTTTTCCAAACATCAGGTAACCTACATCTCTATGAGTAACAAACCAGAGAGTAGATGAAATGAAACCATCTATTCTACTAGAAAAACAATTCAAAGAAAACATTTCCACTTCCCCATCTTCTGACCACATCATAGTGCATTGTAACCTGGTTTCTACCACCACAACTCTTCTGAAAGTGTTCTGCAAAGCAGCCAAAGACTGCCTGACCAATCTGCTTGGTTTTTAGGAGTTATTTTTCTTGTTTCACTGCACTCCATGCTTGTAACCATCCTCTCCTAATTAAAACTCTTTTTTCCATTGGTTCTCACAATACTATTTCTTCCTTGTTTTCCTCCAGTCTTTAAATTTAACTACTCCTTCCTGTTCCATGACCTGCCCCTTAAGTGTAGGTGTTACCCAGGAACTCATTTCAGGTGTCTCTAGCTTTTCCCAGTTGTTGTGATTCATTACTATGGCTCAACTTCCACATTCAGATCTCAGTTCATACCTGCTCCTGAGCTTCAAACCTATAGCTCCCCACCAAACACTCACACCTGGGTTTTAGCAAACCCCCTCAAAGGCCTTGTTGTCCTGGGGTCAATATTATTCTCCTCTAAAGACTCTTCCTCCTTCCACATTCTGTTACAGTTAATAGCCTCTTCCCTGACCCTAAGGAAATCATTTGAATTCCACCCTTACTCTCTTACTCCAACATACAGAGGCGGTCTTCAAATCCTGTCATTTTTCCACTTCTGAAAAGTGTTCTCAGGTCTGCTCCCCCTTCCATTTCTCACTGCCACATCCTTAGTCCAGGTCCCCTTCTTAACTCTTTAGGTCACTGTTGCAATAACTGCACTTTTCTCAGGGGCTCTCTAATCCAATGCATTCTCCACACTGACACCCAAGATAGCCGTTGGAAACACAGTTATGTTTCTCCACTACAAAAACACACTAATGGCTCTTCTTTACTTATTAGGTAAACTCTAAAATGATTAGCAGCCCCTTCACAGGCTGCACCCAAAACACATGCTTAGCTTGTTTCCCTTGTGCCTGTCACCCAGCCACAGCAGCCTTCTTACCATCCCCCAAACTGGCCCTTCCTATTCCACCTCCCTGACATCGTGAATGCTGTTTCCTCTGCTTAAAAGTCTTTTTTTCTCTGTCAGACAACATCTAACTCATCTCTTAGTAACAAGATTAAATATCTGTTCCTCTGGGAAGACTTCCTAGCATTTCCTCCATCCCAACAGCCCGTCCCTGCCCGCACAAATCCCTCCCTTTGTGGAGTCCCAGTGGCTCTTGAATATGCCTCAATTGTAGGCTGTTAGCCAGTAGGTTATAATTTTTGCTTAGAGATTAGATCAATATTTATGGACTATAAATTCCTTAAAGATAGAAAACATCTTCTCTTATTTATCTGTATGTCACTAATCCCTGGAACAATACCAGTCAGAGTAGATACTTAATGTTTCATGAATAAACTCCTAACAATTGGTGACTATCGGAAGGGCCGATAATCCATGCTAAGGACAAAAATGAAGAGCAGTACACCTGCAGTGTTTCATTTATTACTGGGATATGAACCATTCATGATATGGCGATGACTTAATAGCTCATTGCATTGCTTTAAACTCGCCGTCATAACTTATTGCACTCCGCACTTCTTGCCCAGCTTCTTTCACCCACCCACATGTGGCGTAACATGATCAAGTCAGTTTGTCTGTGTCTAAAGGCCATGATCAGTCAGTCAGTTTATTGTGATTAGCAAAGTAAGGCTTGTCCCTGTGCCTGCGCAGAGAGCAGGAATGGAATCCCCATCCATTCTCACTAAAAGCACACAGATAAGAAAGGCCACAGCCCTCTAACAAATCACACCTGTTAAGATAAAGTAGTGTCCTTCACATTTTATTTTTTATGATGAGAAACCACAGTAAAGAAAATAAAATTTAATACATCCTTATAATTAGCTAAGATTATTTAAAATAATTATTGGCTTTATGGAGAGCTTTTCTAAAAGTCCCACTGGGCTTAAAAAAAAACAAAAACAAATTAAAAAATGACTGGATTTTGTAAGAATGGTTTTTAATAGATGTTTTGTCTTCTAGGCAAAAATACCTGGCACTTGTTTTCCAGAAGAGCTGCTTCCCAAGTCCACATGTCATACAGCACAGCAAATCTGTCCACACCTGCGTGGGCCCATCCCCCGTCCTGCCCACTCTTTGATTCGCAGCCCTCTTTGTGACCTGGGAGAGAAGGGGGTGGGAATGATTAGAGACAAGCCTCCAAAAGAAGCTGTTTCAATTAGAAATGTGCCCCTCTCAGGGTCTATGAGCTCCATCTCAGGAACAGAAATACTGAACCAATCACTGTGATTCCTAAGAATCGGCTAAAGAACCATCTGCAAAGACTAGGCCCCAAGTTCATACTTGTTGACTTCTAAGTCAACAGGAGTTTTTGTTTTACTTTCTAATTTTAGTTTTAAAGATTAATTTTAGAAATAAAACCAAAATTCAGTTAACAAGTAATCTATGCCAAAATGTCCTCAAACCTACAATTTAAAAGCAAGCACAAATTTCATCCATAAAAACAGGTCCCTGGTGGTTTAACAACAAAGTTCAGTTCAACCTGCTATTTCCATTAATGTTAGCCAAGTCAAAAATTTTTTTTTTGAGACAGAGTCTTGCTCTGTTGCCCGGGCTAGAGTGCCATGGCGTCAGCCTAGCTCACAGCAACCTCAGATTCCTGGGCTCAAGCAATCCTTCTGCCTCAGCCTCCCAAGTAGCTGGGACTGCAGGCATGCGCCACCATGCCCAGCTAATTTTTTTATATACATATATTTTTAGTTGTCCAGATCATTTCTTTCTATTTTTTAGTAGAGACGGGGGTCTCGCTCTTGCTTAGGCTGGTCTCGAACTTCTGATCTTGAGCGATCCACCCGCCTCGGCCTCCCAGAGTGCTAGGATTACAGGCGTGAGCCACCGCGCCCGGCCCCAAGTCAAAATTTTTCAGAGAAGTTTCCAAGATATTCCTTAACTGCGTTAATTACTAACTTAAATTAATAAAACTAATTATTGTCATTATTCAGCTGAAATATTTTTTCACTGTATTAATGTTACTTTTCATGACCAACATTATTATTGCTTCAAATTTTTAAGTGGTCTATTTCAGAATGAAATATTTGAAGATAAGAGATTTTTCAGGTGCTGAAGTTTGGGTTCAATAATTATCAGACCAGGCACACCTGTAATCCTAGCACTTTGGGAGGCTGAAGCAGAAGGATTGCTTGAGACCAGGAGTTTGAGGTTGCAGTGAGCTATGATAATACCACTGCACTGTACCCAGGGCAACAGAGTGAGACCCTGTCTCAGAATAATAATAATAATCATCATCATCATCAAGTATATGATGGGTACTAAGAAAGAGAAAGACTTTGATTAGGAGCTTCTCTAGCAGCAGTTGGGAAGTTTCACAATGGATGACTATATATTTACTAGCTCAATTGAAAGATGCCCATGTGGTTAAAATGACTACTGATTAAGTGTTTCAAGCAAATTAAATTCTTAGCAGCTAGAAATAGTTGTATTATAAATTAGTATGGACAAAAATGATGCATTAGTATGTAGGATAACTAGCAAAGATAAAAATTAAGAGCTGAAATTAAACACCCTGGAATGTTGGATGCTACTGCTGCATCCCACGATTCAGATACCAATGGTTGTGGCAAAGACAGGACAAAGAGTTCAATCTTATATTAAATTAATTCTGCCTGCGATCTGAAAAGCTAATTGTCATACTTTCTTTGAGCAGCATTCTATAACAATATAAACATGAATTATCCTTATAGTCTACATATGTTACAAAATAGCACAACCCCTTACTAAATTTCCCTTTAAGTATTGCAATGGGTCTAGAAATTCTAAGCTCTTTCCAAATGTAATGTTAATGCTGTCATAGTACTTCAAAACAATATTCTTGGGCCAGACACAGTGGCTTATGCCTGTAATCCTAGCACTCTGGGAGGCTGTGGTGGGAGGATTACTTGAGCTCAGGAGTTTGAGACCAGCCTGTGCAAGAGAGAGACCCCGTCTCTACTAAAAATAGAAAAATTAGGCAGCATGATGTGCGCCCACAGGTGTGCCTACAGGTGACATGCGTCCCAGCTACTAAGGAGGTTGATGCAGGGGGATTGCTTGAGCCCAGGAGTTTGAGGTTGCAGTGAGCTGTGATGACACCACAGCACTCTACCCAGGGTGACAGAGCGAGACTCTGTCTCAAAAAACAAAAAAAGAAGAATATTCTTACCTCATCTATTTCTAAAATTGGATAAATTTGAGTGATGCCAAAAGGAAGAGAGAATACAGATTATAGGTTACTTGATGACCCTGAGTAATGATTTCTTCATTTCTTCCTCTGGGGCTTGTCTGGCATTTTCCTAGCCAGAATTTCTTGCAACCTGGTTTCCTGTTAGGAACCAAGGGATGTCTCTGCTTCTAAATGCAGTTTCCTCAAAGTCTATCACTTTTTTTAAAAAGCCATTCATTTCACTTGCTTACTTTGCCTCCCTCAGGGCCCTGCACCACAACCCTGCCCCCAGTGGGTGATACAGAGAAATGTCCCTGGGCAGCAAGCAAAGTCTAAACAACAGTAAGAATTACAACCGAGCCCTTAAAGAGTAGTCACATTCTCCATCAGAAGGGGGCTTGTGCTGGAAACAGAACTGTATCTTTTCTAAAGTGGGTGTGTGTTGGGGGTGGGGGAGGTGTGCTTATTGAATTTTCAGATACTATTGGATATGTGTTTATATGTTGGGGTAGGGAGCATTAAATAGGGCCCTTAATATTTTTTGTTTATTTTGCCAGTTGATTTTTAAAAACCTGACTTCTCACCCTTTTCTTTCTCAATGTAACAGCTGGCCACGAGCAGCAGCTCTGCCTCCAGTTCCTTCAGATCACTCAAGGCTGCCTCATACATGACATGCACCCCTCGTTGGTCCTGGGTGTGGATGCAGCCAGCTCCTGTGCTGTAGTAGTCATCCTGGTTCTCCACTTCCGAGAACTCCATGAATTGGACGCTGTGGACCTGGGGAAAGTAAGCCAAGCCCAGCAGTTACTGGAAAAGGGAGAGCTGTATTTGGCCAGCCCAAATGGACCAAGCAGCAGGCTTCTGCTCCCACACCGTGGGCCGTCGGCACAAGGCTGGAAACATTCTGACTGTATAAAAAGCTGTATACAGAAAACATATATTAACAAAGAAATGCATAAACAAAGAATGTTGGCAGGGAGAGAGAGCTCCTGAGGTGGATAACTAGCTGATTAGTTTGTTTTTCTGATCAATTCAGTAGTAACTAGAAAAGGGCAGGCAATAGAGCCTAGTGTTGAAAGTGGCCTCTGGAATTGGAACGCCCCCATTCTCACCCTGCTCTGCTGGGGTCTCACTGTGGGCAAGTCATTCAGCTACTCTTAGCCTCTGTTTCCTCATCTGTAACATGGGAACAGAGGAGACATCGTAGACTACAATGGTTGTAGGGCGTATGTGACACTGTGTATGTGAGGCACTTGACATCCATAAATTAGCTGTTAAAAGCATTTTCGCTTTAATTCTGTAAGTACTTCTAAAATGCAGTAGCACAATCTCATGTCTTAGTGATGTGCTGGGTTGAATAGTGTCCCCCAAAATTCATGTCTACCTGTAACCTGTGAATGAGACCTTATTTGGAAATAGGAACTTCGCAGATGTAATCAAATTAAGATGAGGTCATACTACATTAGGGTGGCCCTAATTCAGTGACTGGGTATCCTTACAGAAAGAAGGACATTTGGAGACAGACACACAGGAGAGAAGGTCATGTGAAGGCAGAGGTAGAGATTAGAGCACATGCCAAGGAATGCTAAGGATTGCCAGAAACTACCAGAAGCTAGAAGAGGCAAGGAAGGGTCTCCTCTAGATCCTTCAGAGAAAGCACGCTCCTGCCGACACCTTGATTTTGGACTTGTAGCCTCCAGAACTGTGAGAGAATAAATTTCCATTGCTGTGAACCACCCAGTTTATGGTACTTTGTTGAGACGAATCAATACAAGTAGGAGTATTTCAATCATAATGTTATTTTTCTCAGATAACTAAGGATCTGCTGCTTCCTGAAAATCGTTATTCTAATACTAATCATAATTTCAAACTTCCCTACTCTTCTCAAACCTCTGAACTCACTCCCTGCTGGGCCCAGTCTCCCCTCACTCTCAGCAGAAGCTTCTTCACTTCACCACTCCCCCACACCGCCACGACGCTCACGCCTCTCCTCCCTCCTCCCCTTCTCCAAGGCCATTGCCTCCCCATGCTTTGAATCCCATTCCCTCTCACCTCGGGAGCATCCCTTCTCCCTTGGATATCCAACTCATCACAGCTGGAGCCTTCCCAAATGACCTGAAACGTGTACATCTCTCCCATTTTAAAACTTCCTCACATCCTTCCCCAGGTTCCACTCTATGTCTGTCCTCCCCCTCACGGGCCAGTCTCCCAAGATGTTATTTATACCCTCTGTCTCCATTTCTTCACCTCCTACTCTTCAACCCATTCCCATCTGGCCCCGTCCCCATCAAGCCACGAAACCCCTTTTCTAAGACCAACTATGGCCATTGCTCTACATCCAACAAACTTTCTTTAGCTATTTTAGTAATCTCTCAGGAGCATCTGACACAGTTCTGTGCTCCTGGCTTCTCGACTCACTCTCTTCCCTGGGCATCTGGAACTGCACATTCTCTTTGATCCTGCCAACTTTCCAGCCATTCCTTCTCTGATGCCTTGAGGTGTATTTTTCTCGATTGGGTCATTAAATGATGGCCACACTCAAGTCCCAATCCCAGGTCCTCATCTTTTCCTCCTGTATTCCTTCCCTAGAAGGTGGCATATACTTTCACAGTGGAGATTGCCAAGTTTAGACTATTTACTCCCCAATTTATATCTCCAATCCAGATGTCCTAGAGCTCCAGACCTATGCATCCAAGTACCTAATTGACCTCTGCCCCTGGGCATCTCAAAGGCCCCTCAAATTTAACATGATCAAATTATGCAGTCTTCCCCACCCAAACGTAGGCTGTCTCCAGCCCATTTTACTAAATAGCACCACCGTGCATCCACTTCCTCTGGAATGAATCATTCCTGACATCTCTTCTGGCTTACCCTACATGTCCAATCTATCACCAAGTCCTGTTGGTTTTACTTCCTATCTCTCGAATCAATCCACTGCTTTCCATCTCTACCACCCACTAGCCTAGTCCAAGCATTATTATCTTTCATGAGGACTGATCTAGGAGCTTTTAAACTGGTCTTGCCTCCTAATTGTACTAGCCACATCCCCTCCAGCCTGGGCTTTCCCTCTTCTCACTCACTGCAGGCAGAGGATCTTTTAGAAATACAGTTCTGATTATTTCATCCCCTCCCCCTGTAATATCCTTAAAAGGCTTCCCATTGCTCACAGAATAAAGTAAAACCTGCCTATCTCTCTAGTCCAGTGCTTCTCAGTTGAGGGTGGCTTTGCCCCCCAGAGAATATTTAGCCATGTCTGGAGATACTTTTGGTTATTACAACTTAGGGGGAGGATGCTGCTGGCATCTAGTGGGTAGAAGACAGGGATGGATGCTGCTTAATATCCTATAATGGACAGAACAGCCTCACATAACAAAAAATTATCAGGCCCAAAATGTCAATAGAGCCAGGGTTGAGAAACCCTGGGCTAGTTCCATTTTTCATCACTTTCCATGTGACTTGCTATGTTCCAGCCACTCCCGTCTTCTTTGGTGTCCTGTGGGTGCCATGCTCCTTCTGGCCACACGTCCTTAGCCTAGGCTGTCCCCATTCTGTGGAAAAGTTTCCCTCTCCTCTTTACCTAGTTAAAGCCTTTTCATCTTCCAACATCAGTTCAATCATCACTTCCATAGAAACCCCTCCACTCCGGCCTGCCTATAACATGAAATATCTATCTTTCTTTTGAGAAACTTAATTATGCCACTGTTTGACATTTATTTGTGTGATTTTGAGCAATATTTGTCTCACTGGATTAGAAAGTACTCTAAGGGTAAAGAGCATGTCATTTTTGTTCATGATTGTAGTCCCATTGCTTTGCACAGGGCCTAACTCATAGTATAATAGGTCCTTAGAAAATATGTTAAATAAAAGGAATGGATGAATATATGGATGGTTTTTGATACTTTTGCACATAGGTTTCTTTGAGTCTATAACTTATGATCTCTACCTGTAGTTTTAACATATACCAATAAAAAATGCTGTGTTTTGCTCTCATAGATTCTGATCTCATGTCACTAAAGCCTAACAGTCCAGACATTCCATATGGTGAAGATAATGCCCAGGGTGGTTCTTGAGGGCAAAAAAATCCCCCTTATTCTTTTTATATATAAAGCACATACATGCAAACTGTACATAAATAAATATATGGCATATCTCTGGTGTTAACATTTCTTTACGGGGAGTATTAAGGAAAAACAAAGTCTAAAAAGGGTATTTGTAGAAGCCATATGAAAAAAAGGTTAAGAAACATTGGCTTTGTTTTTTACATTTTATATATTTTAAATGTGTATATGTTTTATTATGATAAAATACATATAACATAAAATTTACCATATTTACATGTACAATTCAGTGACATTAAGTACATTCATAGTGTTGTGCAACCACCATCACCATACATCTCCAGAATTCTTTTCATCTTGCAAAACTGAAAATCTGTACCCACTAAACAATAACTCCCCATTTTTCCCTCCCCGCAGCCCCTGGAAACCACCATTATATTTTTATCTCTATGACTTTGACTACTCTAGGTACGCATATAAATGGAGTCATTTAGCATTTGTCCTTTCGTGACTGGCTTATTTCATTTTGTACAATGTTCTCAAGGTTCATTCATGTCATAGCATGTGTTTTGGGAATTTCCTTTCTGTTTAAGGCTGAATTATATTCCATAGTATCTGCACACCATATTTTGTTTCATCTGTTGATGGACACTTGGATTGCGTCCACCTTTTGACTATTGTGAAAATGCTATGAATATAGGCATATA